TGATGTGTGTTAGCTGCGTGAAAAGGTTTAAGGATGATTCACAGTGCACCGGACCGTGCCCGAGCCGGACACGTTCCGTGAAGTAGACACCGAGTCACGTCCGATCCTTCTGTATATGCAACACCGAGTTGATAACGGGGTTCGTATTAGTTCCGAGTATATTAGAAAACACAGCCCCATAGACATACGAAGATTTAATACGAACAATGCCAAAGTTCTCGCAATTGGAATTGGTACCAATTGCAGTTGATGACAACAACACCTGCAGGGGAAACACCTGCTCAAAGGAAAAGATGAAGGATCTATCTTGTTCATTACATCCTTTCATTGTCCAGTTTTACGCATACCCTGTCGTCAAATACTGCTGTAAGATTCACTAATACTTACTACAGACATGATAAAAAGTGTACTTTGTTTATATCATGACTGCAGATTGCAGTCGGGGCACCAGGAAAAGTACATTCATGATTTCCGCAACGTGGCGGGAACGGAGCGGATCCGAGAAAAAAATGTACGCCGACATTTCTGGGACGGGGCACGGACGAGTTCCGGCGAAGCTCGGATCGTGCTCGGCCTGGCATGAATGTATATGTGTAAAGAACACTTGACCATGTTTGGCCGTGTCTTCACCGACGCACAGCTCGGACCTGTTACGGTGTAGCGTGAAGCATCCTTTAACTGTAACGGTTACACTTCCGCACAGTTTTGGCTGCAACTGTAGCACGGGATGACTATGGCACCGTGGGGACCGCGACAATAGTTCCCTTGTGCTACGTTCTCTAAAAAAGTTACTCTCTAAAAAAGTTGCAGCGATTGGTTAAAAATACACATTTTTGAAAAAGACCCCCTAACTCATAAACGGTAACAGAATCGATGTACGGTTTTCACCATCATGTTTTTGATAAAAATTGAGCTCCAGACACCAATATTAGTTTAATACCTAATAAATAGTAATACCTAATATTAGCTAAAAGAACATCACACATATTGACACAATATTATTCAGACTGCCTTTTGTTTCAGTACTAAAAATAAGACTTTACAGTTACCCGAAAGAACAACTGTTCCTTTGTATACCAAATAACTAAAATACATTAACTCTATTTACCATCATATTATTTATGCTTACTGTACAGAAATGGAAATGGAAAACAAACCAATACCTAAAATTATTGTAAAAAAAACTAATAGATTCATGTTTGAGGTTGGTTACTCAATCACTAAACCGGCACTAAGATAATTATCCCAACAAATTATCGAGAAAAAACGGCGTCAGCGATGGCTATGAAATGAAGATCGCTGTCTCAAGCCTATAATATGTAAATTTATATGGGAAATTTCATCGATCGTCATTTCCCAGCCAAATGAACGCCGTTTTTTTTTCGATCACACGGTACAATAATATTTATAGTTAATTATATAAGTTAAAGCTTCGGTTAATGTCTTTACTATAACTTTATTATTTCATAAGAAATATACCTACTTAGTACATATTAATAAATAAAAACATAGAATACCTACGCCTTTAGGTTTGTCTCCTAGATTTCCAAAGTTTTTTTGTTTGTGGTCACGCTATTTAATTAGTAATTACTAGGTAGGTAATATTTTAATATTAATATTAGGTACATTCTGATTTTGATACAATGTAGGTATGCAATGATGTTTAAAAGAAGTTATTGTGTAAAAATGATAGGGTCAACTGGGGTAATTGTAAACGATTTTATCAACTTCAACTTTGCTAATGATTATCTAAGGTTTCTTACTTTTTAAACTTTTGAAATTTGAGCACAGTGTCCCTTAGTCTATTACCTGTTAATTTACAAAGACAAACCGCCATTGACACGTTAGTTTTTATTTATTTTTTAATTTACATTTACCCCTACGTGTTTACATTTACCCCTACGTGTTTACATTTACCCAGCTAATAGGGGTAAATGTAAATGAATATTTCATGAAATATTAGTATGACATTACAATCATAAGGGGCAAATGAAAACAAATCTTAGTCTGTATGTTTTTATACATTTTTATTTTAAAAGGAGGGGTGTTTACATTTACCCCGAAATACAAAAAATATATACAAATTTTTAATTGCAAAAGAAGAACAAAATAACCACAAAAACTTAAGGTTCAAAAACAGCTATTAGCTCACTAAACAGTAGACTTAACCTATGCCAGCCTATTATTTTAACATCGCTACAGATAAAAATCTATAGTTTTATTTTTCATACACCGCAACTGCCCCAGGAAAAATATAAATAATTTTTCTATCACGATATTCGAGGTTTGGATCTGGTAACATTGCTTTAATCATCTTGAATGTTATGTTACTTACATCATTTGGCTTCTGAATAGACTCTGTTGATACAGAATTTAACCTCTCGAACCCTTAAACCACAATATCTCCATCTTCTTGATCGATGCTTTGTATACAACATACATACTTGTATTGGATTGTATTTCTCTGCCCTCCCTTAAACTCTACTAATACAAATAACCCTGGTTTAAGTTCACTCCAAACTGGTTCATGATATTCAATTTCGTCTGTTGATTCAGCAATGACTGATTCTAAGAGATCATCAGAAGAGTCATCTTGATACAAAGCAGATTCGTCTATTGATTCTTCTTGAATTTCTTCTTCTTCATGAACAGCCCTTTTTTTATTACTATGTGCCATTTTAATTTTGTTTTCATTGTCATCTTTTTGCTTTTTATTGATCCCTTTCTTTTGATTTCTTAACTTTTGAGCAATTTCCATTTTCTCTAGAACTTGTGGGGTAGTCAAAATTTCGGCGGTTTGATTAGGTAGGTTATGAGAAGCTCGTGTAGACTGTACATGAGGAACAAAAACTGTGGACAACCATTCAAAAAATTGTGGCTCCTCCATCCAACCGTGACCGGAACAAGTATACCTGGAAGACAAAAAAAGTCCAAAATAATTTTTTTTAATAGGTATGAGTTAATATTAAATTAATATGATGAACCTGAACACCTACTCCTTTAAATACTATTAAAGGTGGAAGGTAAGATCCATCTGCGGCAATACACGCAAGTACCGTGGTGGACTCTCAGCCTGAACCCGCTGATATTCTAGACAGCGCCTTTCCCTTTTCCCTAATCGCCTTGAATTTAGTCGGATCGTGACAAAACCCAGTCTCATCACAGTTGAATACAAAAGCTGGTTTATTCTCCAATGTGTTTTCTCCAAAAAGTTGGACCAGGTGGGTGTAAAAATCATAAACGACGAAGGGATCCCTGGAATCTTTTCTGCACTTTTGTAGCAACTCTGGTTTCTTAACTGACAATCCTGGATGCTTTTTCATAAATGAATAGTACCAATCATCTCCAGGGGTTCCTTTGACAAATTGGGTTTTTAAATTAGTTACACGCACATATTCAGCCACAACTTGTTTTACATCTTCTTTGTCACATAGAATGCCCATTCGTGCTCGCGCCCTAATACAGTTTTCTAAATCACGTTCGATGTCAAAGCTAAGCGCTTGTGACCGTCCAGACCCTAATTTGTTTAATTGCAGTTTTTCGCCCTTTAATTCTGTTAAAAACTACCGCTTTTGGAATACTATAGTGGTCCTCGACTTGTTGGTAACTTCTATTTCTGTTCAAAATATCTTCTACAGCCCTAGTCATGTCTTCAGGGGTGTGTGACGACGGTGGCCTCTTTTTTATGTAATTTCGTGGCATTTCTGAAAATAAATTTAAAAACTCACTACCTAATCACATTAATTTTCGTATTTACATTTAATTTATTTGGTCATTTACATTTACCCCAACACTAATTTCTTCAGGGGCAAATGTAAATAATATTTTGTAGGTTATTAATTGCAAAATACATCTAATTTTTGATTTAATACTGAACAATCATAACATTAACAATTATTCAAACCAAAATTTTATCAAACATACCATTTTTGGCCAGTAATCCACTTCTTAAAACACTTTGGTACAACCGTTTTTCACTTGAAACTGCACTATTATGTTGACCGCGCCATATTTCGAAACCAACTGCCGTTTTATGATTTAAAAACTGACCTTGACTAAACCAAACGTGCGCAATGCGGACAATGTTGCCAAGTTACGTTCAAATTTTCTTTAAACCAGAAAATAATAGGCGTTTACATTTACCCCTTTTTACATTTACCCCAGTTGACCCTATCCTATTTAAAAAAATCAAATAAATGTTCTCATTTGTTTAAAAAAACTATCAAATGAAAGATTTCAACAGTTTTGGAATAAAAAAATAGTATAGTAGTATAATAATAATGTTAAATATCGCCTCATTATAATAAATATTAAACGAGATAAGAAAAAAAATAAAGCTTTAAAAAATTAAAAATTTAAAAATTGTAAGTACTTAACCCATTGTTTAAAAAACTATAAATACGTATAACATTTCGTATTATTTAGACAAACAATACAATTTTCTCTCTACATCTCAGGTTACAAAAGGTACAAACTCAAATACAGATCTCAATAATAGATTAACCCTTGATTATACATCTTATTATCTAATATAATAAAATAGTAACTATCTGAATTTTGAAAATAAAATATAATCTCCATCTCCATATAGATATTCAAATATTATTGGTGTATAAATTAAGCTTGTACAAAGCATAAAGTTTCGTACCATAATCTAAAACGGCCAGATCAAGTATGCCCATTAAAATTACCTATAACTCCGAGAAAAGTTGTTTATAAAAGTTTAAAACAGGTCTATTCCACACGCAAAGGTCTTTTTAGATGCTCTAGTAATAAAAATAACAATAAAATACAACCAGTAGTTGTTAACAATTCCCCACTTTCACTTAATACATAGCGTAAACGAGTTTATTTAACATAAACAATTAATTAATTAAGATTTCATAAATATCAACTCATGCTCCCATAACTTTTGGTTTATTAATCAGAATTCCCCATATAATTGCCATACAATGCACAATGACATGTCTGTACAAGATCAAAATAAGAGAAATACTGACCTCATTTTCCAAATAAAACAGGCACAAATTTCTGTAAAACTGAACAATTAAGCCGTACCGCACAAAATAATGTCCCCGAAAGTCCAAAAACTTGATTTTCCATACATAAAATGGCACTATTTTGATTCAACATCAACACAAACACAATGATCCATTGACTGCAGCGGTAGCCATCTTGCCCAGAAACAGACTGAAAAAAAAGGACAGCCTTGTCATGCGAGTTCACTTGTTTTTTCCCTACCACTTTTCCGACCACGGTTACAAATTGAAAACGCCTACTTATCATATTCAATAAATTTAAAATTCAATAAAATAAAAAATTGTACTATTAATATTATCTAAAAACATTGAGTGGTACCCACTGAGTTATATATAAAAATATCCCCCATAATTTATAAAGAAAGGCAAAGACATAAGAAGTTTATGACATGATTTTATTTATTTTTTGTTCAAATGTTGGCTGCGCCGCAAAATATGTCATTGTTGGATGTCAATATTGTCAATGGCAGAAATTGTCAGCTGTCAGCTGTACTTTTGGTTTTTGGACTTGTGCGGTTTTTTATCGAATATTGCATAACTAGTAACTAGTGGCAGAGTTATTTTTCACCTAAGAAAAAGTTGAAATGGCTGCTAAAAGAATAGCCCAAAGTTCCATTAACTGGAGCCAATTGTCGGAAAGAGTTCCCGAGCATCAACGCCATATATTTTTGGCTTTTAAATCGAAATCCGATAGTTATCTCAGAAGGTATTTGTCTTTCATTACAATTTATGTAACCACTTTTATCTTTCTATTATTAACAAATTAAGTAAATAGTTTATATTATATTAAATAATATTCAATTTTAGAGTACTAGCTCAACCTGAAAGTCCCCCAGCGATTGACTGGTCTTATTACAAGCAACATGTCCCAGTTGCTGGCATGGTTGACGATTTTCAAAAGCAGTATACTGCCTTGAATATTCCTTTTCCTCCAGACACAGTCAGTAAACAAATCGATGCACAAGAAAAGGAAATCAAAGCCGACATTGAGAAATTCAAAGTAGAATCTACAGCTAGAATTACAGAGTAAGTCTTATAATTGTAAAAATTAAAAAATATTTTTTTCAAATATTGTCTCCTTTATAGATACAAAAAGCAATTAGCTCATTTAGCCGGCCTTTTGCCATATGAACAAATGACCATGGAGGATTACCGTGATGCTTACCCAGAAACTGCTCTTGATCCTATTAACAGACCAACATACTGGCCCCACGATGCTGAAGAACAAATCGACTATGTGGCCAAGGACGCACCACCATCGGCACACTAGTCTTTGAAAAACTATCGAGTTTGTTTAAATACAACAAAATAGAATTAATTGGTGAATTTTATTTTGAAGCTTTCTTTGATGAAATATACTTTCTGTCATTTAATGCAGACCTAGTAATTTGTTAATATTGTATTAAAATAAATATTGAAACAGATAAATTTGAATATTATTGAATTGATAGAAATACTAAAATACTTACTTTCTCAGTTTAACAGAATTGCTTTAAAATGTGACGGGTTTCCTTATTTTACTGTGTGTGTATTTCTGGTCTAGAGTTTTGCAGTAATGAAACTAAGTGCCTATTAATAACCAAGCATTTGAATCAAAGTAAAAAAATCTGCCATTTAGTTACTATTTCAATGATATTTTTAAATGAATTTTAGAAAGATTTTAGTTAGCTTGGTGAACACTCAACATGTATAGTCCCTGTCTATAAACTTTGTATTTTAATTTTGAATTTTGGTATAAGTTGGTCTGAGTTATAAGTTATATAAATTTCCTTAAAACTAATTTTCTAGAAAATCATATATCCCGGCGCATTCGCCATTTAAATAAAAAAACACGAAAACGATAGATTTTGTGTAATGATTATTATTTTTCATAGAAAGGCTAACATTATTTCTAATTATCATAAGAAGTATTACATAATGTGGCAAATTTGGATCATTGTCTTCATTTTACAGAAATCCTCCCTCTATTGATATATCTCAAAGATCTTTTAAAAAATTAAATAAATTATTCCATAGATATTAATAGGAGAGTGAAGCAAAATAAGAAAATTTTGAAAGGGCGATATTGCGTAGTTTCGTAGTTAATTATTGGTAGGTTAATTCATAATTTCCAGTATTACCATAACCAAAATATACAGAATTATATTTTAATTCTGTAAACTAATATTGCAACAGAATTTCCAAAAAAATCAATTTGATCAAAAAATTTTATTATATGATATTGAATGTTTGCTTCATGAATAAACATCATGCAAATGACAGTTAATAATAAATAAAGATCTGTTTTTTGAACGACTTTATAATACATAGGAAAAACTACAATGTACCTATACAGGGTGTTTCAAAAAACATGGGCCATCTCTCGTGGGAAGGTTCCTCAAGTACATAGGTCCGATTCTGCTTTGTTTCGGAGCAACAGGGTGTTAAAGTCTTAATAATTTCTCAATTTATTATAATTTTTGAGCTCCATCTACGGTAACGTATATGAAGCAAAAAGCATATTATAATTTTCTTCCAAGTACTTTTAGTGATTCGAATGAAATTTTGAGGGTAAAAGTTGCTATAAGTGCTACATATTTTAATGCTAACAAAGTGTCGATAAAGTCATCAGGGACGTGCATATGGGTTAGCACTGGAATATTAAAAAAAAACATGTGCGCCACTGACTTTTTTCTTTTGATATCAAAATTGAGTAGGCCGTTTAAAGCCAATCAAAAGTGATCCCTGATATTTTGTCGAATTCGGCCTCCTTCATGAGATAAACGCAATTTTATTAATCACAATTAATAAAATTAAAATAAAAATGAAATTAATAAATTATATATATTAAATAATTTATTATTAAATATTATTCTATTAGTTATTATTACTATTAGTCCACCCTACAACAAGCAATTTCAAATAAAAAAATTATGGTAGGTATTTAAGATAATAATAACAAAAAACCTAATTTTAAAAAGTTTTAACATCCTGTAACTCTAAAATTATGAATTTCCATACCCATGTTTATAGGAACTTTTTTCATATTTTTTGATGAAGAATCAATGAGTACTTATTTAAAACTTTCGCAAGTTAATGCTATTAAAATTTTTTAAAGGTTGCTATTAGATTTGGATCAAGGCAAATTAAAAAAATTGCGTTTATCTCATCAACAACCTTTAATCGGCATTAAACTGCTAGCACTACTTCGCTAACAAAAGAAGAAAAAAAAATCAATGGCGTACATGCTTTTTTTGAAAAAACATTCCCGTGATAACCCATATGCACGTCCCTGGTGAATATGGGGACACTTTTTTAGCCTTAAAATATGTCGCATTTATAGTAACTTTTACCCTCAAAATTTTTAATTTGAAACGCTAGAAGTACTTGGAAGAAAATTATAATCAATCGAAAAAATATTAAGACTTTAACACCCTGTAGCTAGGAAACAAAGCAGAATCAGACCTATGTTGATATGAAAAATGAATATTATTTTTACGTGAGGAATCTCCCCACGAGAGTATCGATACCATATATCGATACTTTTAGAGTATCGGACATCGGAACTTCCTTAAGGTTGTCGCCCACTAGACCGCGGCGCGACGCGGCGCGGCGCCCTGTGGAAATTTCTTTTGTCTGCTTGCCATGTATTTAAATGGACCAACGTACATTAGAGCGCGCAGCGCCGAAGCGCGCCGCGGGATTTCCGTCTAGAAGTCGGAAGACTTCACTAGCAACTTTTTTCCGTGTCCCGCGTTTCGGCGTGTTGCAGTGTGCGTACTCACAACGGAAATAATTTTGCGTTGTGAGTTGGCTTTTTGACTAGGAACTAGTGATACGTATCAATGGTAGAATTGTATTTTTAAAGGTAAATTAGGCAAATCAATTTTCATAAAGGAATATGATATTTTTTTTAGTCTCCCCTCACTAGAGACAGATGGACGAAATGCCTTTCTATCAAAGATTTGATATAATTGAGGGGTGTAGAGGCAAAACTGGCAATCTCCACTTTTTAACAAAAGTGACAATCTCCAATTTTTAAATTCTAATTACCTAAATATATAAAAAAGATCAGGGTTTTTTTGACCACATAACTAATATACACATCAGAATAAATAAGAATTATCAAAAATATTAGTAATTTGTCTCTTCTGAAAAAATATGATGAGTAGATATACCCGGTGTTTTTTCTTCTAAAACCCTCAATTGAGGAGTGCGTAAAATGTTTCCTTTATATTTTGTAATACTGAAAAAAATGATTTTGTCTTTTATTAAATCTGGAAAAAGATGGTAAAATTCTCCAAACTTCTTTCTTTTTTTGTTAATCGTATGAGTCCAAACTTTTCCTCACCCCCTCTTCCTCTTCCTCTGTTAGAAGAGCACAAAAAATACGCTTTCGTCCGTACTTGAACTCATTGCTTTAAAAACTAAACTACAGTAAGTAAAAAACACTTCGACTATAACTAAATAGCGTTGCCGCGTTTCAAAAGCGCGCTATAGTGGGCGCAGTCCCTTCGCAGCCGGAAAAAATTCTCTTCCCAGCGCCGCCCCGCGCAGCGGTCTAGTGGGCGACAACCTTTAGCCCGCAGCTACGCGGCCAAATCTATAAAATGATGAATTAGGGATGTACGATTCGAATCGATTTTAATCGAAGATCGATCTTTTTACCCAAAAAATCGATTAAAATCGATCGATTTTTATACAGTTTTACAGGTTTACTTGTTAGAATAAAAAGAAACACTTTAGTTTTGCTTGAATATGTGTTTACCGTGCATTTCTAGTAAAACGCCATCTAGCAATGAATTGAAAAATTAAGTATAAGTGCTCGCTGCCGCAAGCGCCGATGTTTGTTTATCACTTTGATATCATCAGGGTGCATCCACACTATCCTATCCTCCGCGTATCGGCGCCGTAACGGCGTAACGACCTTGAATAGATTTCCAGTAATCCTACTGGCTGAAAAATTCATCTGTCAGAAATTTTATCTGTCAAAAATTTCAGCCAATAGAATTACTGGAAATCGATTCAAGGTCGTTACGCCGTTACGCCGTTTTTAGGATAGTTCAGATGTCAGATTTTTGTCGGTGATTCCCAAGAACGGTAAACTAATAGGATTGCTCATCCTCATAAGACGTATGTTCGCCTCTTCCCGCGTTTCAGCTGACAGTTGTGACATCATTGTAGTCCTTGTCAAAGCCTTGTGTGGCCTTGTAATGATACTGTGTATTATTAGTTGCCTATGGTAAACTTATAAAAATAACAGCTGAGAAATTTTGAGTTAATTATTTTGACAATTTTAAATGTGAAAAAGGTGTTTTTAAAGTTTTTAGAGCTATAGAGTGTATAAATACGTTCATTTTGTGTTGTGGATTGTGACAAAGTGCTTACTAAGTGCCCACGATTTTGTTTATTAATTATTTTGAAGCAAAATATGGAAGTACTCTAAAAAGAATGCTCGGCAACCAATAATGCACGTGTGTGTATTATTGGTTGCCGGATAAGGACTAATAACCTTAGATTAACAATAACTAATAACCATGACAAGGACTACAATGACGTCACAAAGCGAGTAGTTTTCGCATGCACCTGGCGGACACTTTTGGCTGAATGAGCAGTCCTATTAGGTTAACTGTTCTTGGGTGATTCCCACATTTTTATATTTTAAATAACGTAGAATATTCTTTGATTTTAGCTTATTTCCAACCAACCGATATATCAAAATCACAGTCTACCGGTACATATTTTGTGTCAAAATCATCATAAGCATGCAAAAAGCTCTGTACCTATAATAATTGTCTCAAATAATTCTATTTTAATATAGTCATAATATTTTTAATTTTTACAAGTATGACTCCGTTTGTGGGTGTTTCTGATTTAGTTTGGGGTGACCTCCGATTCGGTTTTAATTCTAAATATCTTAATAACCGGTTTTACGATTTTTATGTATCTAATAATTTTTTTATGATTACATATATCGTATTTTTATTATATCAGTACACCAATATATTCAGAATCGAATATCGGTATTTAATAAGATCGATCTTTTGTTGCCGATTTTTTTCTGGATCGATCTTATTATGTCCGATCTTGAATCGATTCAAAATATCGATTTATTTTATTTTTGGGACATCCCTATGATGAATTTAAATTAAATCGAACATCCCCATAAACATCCCTATCTCTAATCAGTGTTCCCAACTCTCAAAAATTTATCTCCCAAAAAATCTAAACACTCGCATCAAAAATCCCCAAAATATCCCTAAAAACCTAAAAAAATATCCCGAAAAAACCCTAAAATATAAATAATAATAAATAAACAATTTGTTGTGTTTTAAGTGGTTGACCTTGAAACGTCTGATCACAGCAATGTAGCCAACTGTTCGAAACTTTCCATTAAAGCAATATCAAACCTTAAATCCCAACAACTAAAATCCCCAAAACTGTTCTCA